TGCTCAAGGTCGAGCAGATAGCGGCTTTCAGCTCAGAGCACAGCCGAGCCCAGGACTCTGATAGTGGGCGACTCCATTATCAGAAACATCAGTAGCAGAAATACAACTACATGCTGCTTTCATCAAGCAACCATTTCTGATGTGAACAGAGAACTCCGGAGCATTCTGATGAAGCACAAGACTGCAAATCGAATGATATTCAGAAAGAGCAGTCAGAACTCCTTAAGAAGGGATTTCAGTGACTCAAAGTTCAGTCGTTCATCAGTGGACCACTCCCAGCAAGGGAAACTAACATGTTTTCAGGTTTGCTTGGGCTGAACACAGCTACAAAGATCTTGCAATATAAAAGAAGTGAACTTCATCGATAACTTCAATCTTTTCTGGGGCCATAGACAACTGTTTAAACCGGATGGCCTCCACCCAAACAAACTTGGTGCAGACAATATCTACTTCTCCCTCCGTCATCCTTTAGCAGAGTGTGTCAATCCACTCAGCCTGAATAGCACACACACACCTGGTCCAAGTCGTCATGTGGTTGACATCCCACAAGGATACTGATAACACCATGCAGCCACAACAAGCCCTGCTCATGGAAACTATCCCGGCTGAGCCCTGCCCACAGAGCTCATCACAGACAGACTGTGACGTATCAGAACAGCTCCAAGACTCAGCACCCAACGACGACTTTCTGGAAAACAGCCAGGGAAGCCAGGACAACATATCACAGCCACCGGAAACACCAGAGACACAGCCCATCTCACCAGACACATTATCCCTCTCTCCAGCATCTCCACTTCTAAGCTTCTCACAGAAAATGGAGGAACTGGTTTATGCTGGGACCAAACTCTCCCACTCCTTCACTGCAAGCCCCCAGATATCAACTGAAAAACGGCGGGCCCCCCAACCACCGAAGCCTGTGGGCCCAGCTCTTCCTCCTCCTCCTGTGAGAGCTCTCCAGCCGCTGCCACAACGCCAGGGCCCCTATGATAGCAGCAACATTCACAAATGTTTACAGAACAAGTGGGAACCCAGTGTGCCTGTAGCTTTCTCTATTTCTGTTTTATCATGTAATAGAAAGTCTAAGGCCTTCTCAAGCCGTATGGCTGGCTCATCTTATCTGCGGCCTATTATGCGTCAAACTAAGATTGCTGTTGAGACAAAAACCAATGCCATGAAGTTAGCATTTTTGGTAACACTTTACTTGAAGGGGTGTGAATAAGACTGACATGACACCTCCATAATCATGACATGACACATGTCATGAATATGAAGGAGGTTTTATGCATGTTTATGACAACTGTCATTAAGTGTCATT